TAAAATAAAAGGTTTAATATATGACAACTATTTCTGTTTAATTATAATAATTCTTAAGTGATCCTTCATTTATTGGAGGGGGACTATATATACAGTATACTGTAATTGATAAATTATTCGTATTATAAACTTTATATTGATTAAACACCACGTGCTTATTTCTTATTGATAAAAATAAGTTCAATCTAATTTTTTAAAAATCTTTGAAAATATAGGATACAAATTAAGTTGAATATATTAGCTTAAATATTATTATAAACCATAGCTTAATGATATTATTTAATATATGATATGTCAAACAGTATTTATAATTATAAAAAATATAAGGTGTAATAAAATTAAATATTGAGCAACTTGGAGTATTGACTAAATGCAGTTAATAGTAAATAATAACAATAATGCAAATAGCATTTCTTGAACATCACCATAATCTAAAATTCATTATATAAAAGAATATGAAAAAAATATTATAATTTTTTGGATAAATAATTAATAAATATTAATTATACAATAATGCATGCAACAAACTATAATGTTAGTTATATATCAGAAATTATAAGTCTTATTGGTAAAGTTCCAAGATTGCAATTGATTTAACAGATAATTGAAAAATACTTGATAATGATAGTCTAATACAGTAACAATATACACGGGGAGGGTACCTTTTTTTCAAGCATTTACCTACTTTTCTTTTGCTGATTACTGTGGTTTGACCCCCTGGATTTCACTCTCCAAGACGACTGGCGTCTACTCCAGGGTAGTCCGTGCGGAGAGTTCACGTATTACGTGGATTATTTGTCTATTGGAGAGAGCCATGTACTTCGGACGCTTGGATAAACGTACTGGTAAAACTTACGTGATTGTTATCATGATTTATTTATCAAATAACTTTATAATGATTGTAATCCTATTTGTATTTTATTAACAACTGTCAAGACAATCAAAAGAAATATTATGTTACATGCATATTTAAAATCAGCAAGCTAAATTATTAAAGAATTAAAATATTCAAGTAATCAATTGCATGTCAAAGTTAACTTTCAGCATAAGAAACAGCAAGCAATGACCATCCAACTAGATTCCACGGTGCCAGAAAGACGGCCTTCTGTGCAACTTCCAACATCCTCATTCCAAGTTGCTCGTATTCAACTATTTTCATTTCATTCCTATGTTTTTTCTTTTCCTTGATCTTTTTTGATGGTGTCTCATTCTCACCACTTTCATTCACAACCATTCCGTCTTCCTTCGGATGCTCAATATCAATATTCCTCGCCGGCAAGTTCCGTTTCAAGTTTCGTCTGGTGATTATCAATGACAAGGTATAGTTTTGATATACTTTTAACTTTTCCTCTACTCTAAGATTCTTGGACGCAGAAGATCGCGGATTGGAAATTAATTCTAAGGCAGTACTTGATGTAGAAACAGACGCAACCGGTGTGGCGGTTGAGACGAGAAGAGATGATAAGTTCGTCCAACTTATAAGGTCGTAGGGTTTAAGTAGAACCGCCTTGGATAGAGAAGATGTTGCCTCTTCAACAAAACCCTGAGATGATGTATTGAAAAGATAAGGTCACATAAAATAATGAAAACTCACTGAATATAAGGAGAATGTATACCTGTAATAGGAAATATCGACTACGCAAAAAATCAATATCCTTATTTCTATCGAACTTGTCTATTTAAACAGATAATTTAAAGAATGTTTATGTGTATAATATTAATAATCTTTTTTGGCAGATCTATAATCACTGTTCTTTCTCTATGGGAAGTGTATAACATACCAGTAATTTTTATGGGCAAATTATTCATCGCAGTTAGAGTCGCTTCGATCAATGTAGGATCATCTTGTAATAAACCCATGGCACACAATCCAAACATTGCGGGAAGATGATGCGTATTTTCCTCGATGCTTTTTAAACAGGAAATAATGATCAACACATAGACCATTATTTAGGTGTACCAAATTATCCAATATGACTTACCATTTGAATAGTTCCTCTCTCGCCAATTTCCTCTGCTCATCTCCCTCCAGGGCCCAAAGAACTTGCGACAATAAAACTGCAACATCCTTTCTCACTTCACTGATTCCATAAATATCATCAGAACCCCGTTTCTGTTCTAACATTTGCATGGGTTTCTCGGCCTTGTCAAGTGCGTCATCAAACATACTTAATGAGTTCTCAAAATCGTTGCTAAAATAATATGCCAATCCTGCTCCTAAAATCGTGTAGATCCTGAATGACATCATTGACAAGGATTCGGAATCTTCTTGCCTCTCGATTAGGTTCAATGCTTCAATGTATGCCTTGATTGATTGGTTAAACTCTCCCACACCGCAAAGAACTCTTCCCAGATTCCCTTGTACGTATGCAAGCTTTTTGATAAATGGATTCAATTTTGAGGATAATAAATCCTTCTCATCATCTCCGTCATCATATTGAACTGAGGCTAACTGTTCCAGCTGTCGAATTTTTTGTTCAAGAGCCATGATTGCACCATTAAAGGCTTCCGCGGATTTCTGGGGTTGATCGAGCCATTCGTATAATAGACCCAGTAGATTTAACGATGCTGAATCATTGGGATCTTGTTCTACAAGTTTTTCCAAGGCAAACAGTGGTGATATCAACGAAGATTTATGAAAGGTTGAAGATTTCTTATATTGTGAAAATGCTTGAGACGCAAAGCCATAATCTGCATCGAGCTGCACCAAAAATTGGTTTGGACAATAAATGAATAAGAAAAATAACAAAGATATACATCCAGGTGAAGAATTACCACATAACCGCCACTAATTTCGTATGCGTGTTCAAATAATCCTGGTGCCTCGTCAGTTCCCCAAAGATTCGCGACATGTGCCAACCCGACCCAGGCCAACGGATAGTCAGGATCGAGTGAACGCGAATTTAAAAATGCTTGATTCGCAAGCTCTAAATCCGAACGTATTAAGTACAAAAACCCAAGATTTGCCCATATCATCGGACTCTGTAAATTTGAGGGGGTGATTAATATTTATCCTAAATATAATGGATAAGGACAATAATCATTGATGAATACCTTTGGAGAGTACTTGATCGCTTTGATAAAAGCATGTTGACTGACTTTTGCGTCGACAGAAATAGTAATGATTCCAAGAGCGTTCCAAAAATTGGAATTTGTAGGTTCAAATTTCAAAGCAACCTTGGTACATCTAGCCGCCGCGTTTATGTAACCTGATGATAATGAGCTAGATTCGTCTCTCCGGGAATAACTCTCAAAAATTTTATAATAAGTAATACCCAGGTCGTACCATAATGATGGTGCGGTATCTGGGCGATTTCCACCAAGTACGATGGCATACTTATATGAGAGACACCCGCAAGTAAGAAGTACCAAGATCAAATCAAAATTCGAAATGCTATCAGCATCAGAATTTTTACACAAGTTTAACCCAAATTCATCGGTCTCTTTATGTAAATGCAATTTTGCATCAAGGTCTAAACGTCTAGGGATCTCTATTAAATTATTTATGGAATCCAAAGGCATCAAATGTAGATAGTTTGGTAGTAAAGTTGCGGTCATGCAAAGATCCCCTATCAACTTCCAAAGACATATATGTTCATGATATTCTTTAACCGTCTGATCCATTATCAATAACCCATCACCTAACAACTCAGCTGCTCGACCATACAATCCGGAAATAAAATGCTCTTTCGCCAACGCCAAGTAACAATCACCGATTCCTTTTGCCGATGGCAGGTGACTCTGGTCCCCTTTCAATTGGGCTTTCTCGATAGTCAATTTGTATTGATCGATGGACTCTTCGAACATACCCAACTTTTGCTTAATGTTTGCAATCTGAAAATGAGCGTAAACTGACGATGGATCCACTTCAATTGCTCGAGCAAAGGCCTTCATTGAAGATGTGTATCGACCTTCGCGCATGTAAGCATCCGCAAGACCTTCCCAACAACTGACATCTTTTGCATCAATTTTGAGAGCGGCCTGAAGATCCGTTATAGCTTCCGCATTATTTCCATCGGCCTTAAGTATAAGGAATTTTTGATGTTAACGATTTATAAAAATCTTAATAAAATAAGATCTATGTTTCCGTACCAATTTGAAAAATCCCAACTGCCTCCACGCCCATCCAGCTCGAGAATTCGCCTGAATGGCCGCTTGATATATTTCAAGGGCCAAGTCCTTCTCCCCACTAGATCGATAAAACTCACCTAATTGTGTTCCCGCTTCCTCATCCTGTGGATCAATTGTGATAGCTTTCTGGTAACAGCTCTTCGCTCTCACGCGATTTTTCTCAATCAAACGATAATAATGACCAAGATACGTGAATGACATGGAAAATCTGAGATCCAGCTTAACCGAAGAAAAAAACTGCGAATATGCATATTTCTTATCTCTCCGATACTCTCCTGTTGATTTATGATCCAGCGGAACATACGCGAAGTCATTAATCGAGGTTTCAGTATAAAAAAAAAAAGAAGCTTTATTCCTACTCGCCACCAATAGCCCAATATATTCTGCCCAAACGATAATGATAAAGGGCGCTGCCATCACATATTTCAATCGCTTCAGAAATCAACTGAATTGCATCTTCATAATTTTCCAACAAAAAATAAATCCACGCGAGTTCGCTTTTTGAAATATGATCCCTCGTATCCAATTCGAGAGCCTCTTCAAACACTTTGATTGACTCTTCAAATTTCCCTCGCGCAGATAGTATTTTACCAATCCCCTATTATGACGATCATTCGATTACGAAGAATATTGATTAAACGTGAACAAATGATAGGAGGGTTAAGATAGATTTACATGAAGAGCCATCATGTTATTACAATCTTTCTGTCGAATTTTCTGATATATTGACATCGCATCATCATGAAACTTGGCGCCAATGTTTAGATAACAATTTGCCATGCATATTTCAAAAGATCGTAAAACCCTGGCATATAATAAAACCGATCGATCAGTCAAAGACACAACGAACAGCTATCATTTCAACCGTCGGCTCGTAATGATAAAAATCCCACGAGAGAATATTTTACCTATCCAATTTGGAACCCGTCTTTTTGTTGTATTTGTTTGTCAAATCTCTACCATTCTTTGCGTATTCCAAAGCCGAATCATAATTCTTAATATCGTGGTTAAACCAACTCAATGCCATATTCCCAAAAATACTGCCTTTTCCCAACTCCAATCCTTCCTATCATAATATATATGAACATAGAACGTAAATAAAATAGTAGCATGGTTCGAAAATAAAATAACTTGATCATTACATGATAAAGTTCATGAGCTTCGGATGTATCTCCTTGCAATGCGCTGAAATACGCCAGAATTATTTTTGACAGACCAGTATCAGGAAATTTTTCAGAATAACTTTTCAGCAAATCTTCATCATAATCCTCTAAAAGGACATTGATCCGATTTATGAGAAAAAACATCTAACATAGACCTAGTATAGAAATACAAATACCGAAATGAATTTTACCTAGTTTAACGGCATTGGTCCTATTAATAAGTATTTCATACGGCAAACTTGAAGTTGTATCATTTTGTTCGACCAGCTGCTTGGCTCGTTTGATAATTTTCTCATTCAACTGAAAACAAGTTAATACGTTAATTGCATGGAATTATAAATGATTAACCGACTGACAAGAATAAGTGCGGTCAATACCTGTCGTCTATTTTCTGAGGGAATGGCGTTAAGTTTCTTTTGAAGATGTGAGATATATCCCACCGAAATCTTAGATTTGTTGATATCTGAAGCCTCTGAACTATCATCCACAATTTCAAATAGGGAGTCATAGAATCCTTCTAACTATATGATTTGAAAAATAATAAAGTTAACAAAGAGGGACAAATCAATAGATAAAAAGAAATGTTGAAACTACCTCTGAACTTCCGTAAACTTCATTTTCGACCTGAACTCTGATGGTAGCTAGCGTTCCCGCATTAAGTCGATATCTTCTTGCATCGATTTCACGTTTAATTGTCTCCGACTCGTCCTGCTCTAGCAATTCTATTATTCGTAATAGTGTTTGCTTTGGTGGTGGAAAATTGTCCAAGTCTTGTATCAATCTATAATATGGACTTGTTGGCAATAAATACTTTAAAGTCTCAACCGCCTTAGGAGTAAAATGGTTTCCTTAGATACCGCCTCGCGAACAAAATGTGATCATAACTTATTATCTCTTCAAATACCTTCTTCTTAACCTTTTCTTTATTCAAATGTAAGTCCACGATCTTGTTTATCATATCCAACACTTCTTTGCTAGATAAAAAAAAATTTCACGGAATCCGTCCGTACAAGTTACAAATGACGACCGACTAAAGTGAACCGATCATACCTTTCCGATTTCTCCCTATGCCTATTCAACAATTCGACCCAAGTTTCACCAAGCTTTACCCAGTTTTCCTGTTTTTCATAAAAGTTTGCAAGACCCTATTCAAGTTCGACAACAAATCAGTACAATTAATCCGTAGGACAGATATGTACATTAATCAACAGATTGGGTTAATATTTTCATAAATTCGAAATCACCTGCCATGCAAGCAGTTGAGAAGAATTGATCTCAATGGCTTTTTGATAAGCCTTTTCACTTTCATCTGGCTTATTCAAATTCAGTTGAGCGACTCCAAGGAACACATACCTAATTTTTACCATAAAAAAATTCGGGTCAAAAAAATGATGAATGAAACATCCGGGATAAGAAATCGAATGGCTTACGCATTATAATTATCAGCCTCATACTGCAAAACATTCTGACAATGTTTTATCGCGTCTTCATAATTTTTGGCTTTGATCGCGTCCCTTGCGTTTTTCAACGAGGTTTTTATGAAGGACATTATTTTCCGACCAAAATAAATTAAATACTATTGTTACGGAAAAAAGTGTGAACCTCAATTCGGAAAATTGATGAGCGGCTACAATGAAATACGTAATTTTGTGTGATACAGCACTTAAAATTGACCAACGCTATACTGTAATTAAAACATTACCATAAATCTATTCGACTACGGTAATAAGAAAATATTCTCACTTGACCTCTACCGGGTAAAATGGCAAAAGGATCTCATTCGCAATGATGAGAATAGAGATTACCAAACATATTTCTGTATGAGGTCACGGAATAAACGAACTTTGCAAAAAAAAAAAGGCAATTCCCGTAAGAATGAAAACAATGAAAAAATATAAAGAAAATATCGCAATAACGTGTTGTAATTGATACTGTATTCCAGTTTAAACATTTAACCATCAAGCAATAATATGATGCTTGAGACTATTTCTAGAATAAAAAATAAAAAATAAAAACTCAAAAGTTTTAAATCCTTTATTTATAATAAATAAAAATAATAAACAAGCGACCTTAAAACAAATATAATATTATCATCCTTCTCGTATCATTCTGTAAACATTTTTTTTTTTTATTTACGTGTCTTTAGAGAAACTTTCTTTGTAGTAGTGTTCGACATCGAATACGTAACACAAACTGATTGTCACTGGTACTTTGACCTTCGCGTCCTCCAAAACTTATTACCCATACGCGACGAAAATAAAAACACCAAAGAAAAAATTCCGTTTCATGTTCACCTATACGTCTAATCTGGCATGGCGAAAGGTTTTCACGCGTATCACGCAACATAAACAATCACGTGATAATGAGAATCACACGGTAGATAATGAAAAAAAAATTTTTTTTTCTAATTTTCATCACTTCCTCGATCTTCAACTTGTCAAAAGTGATGACCCTTTCATCCATATCCCATTTGCCTAAAATACGCAGGGAAATAACAAAATTGACCTCATTTCTTTGCATAAACAAGGATTCTTATTTTTCTCGCTCATTCCATCAAGACTTTAGTTTACCATCACACCAAATTCTCTCAAAAGATTTATCACTGTCAAATATTCGAAACATTAGGAACAAATTACCACATTCGAATTTGAATACTCTCGAGTTCATTAGATGCCATCGAACTGTTAGAAATGTTGAAGTTGTGAGATCAGAACGCATAAACTCCTTACTTGGTCTTGACAAACCGTAAGTTTTTCTCTCACGTACAAACAACCGGATATCAATCATTCACC